ACAACCGGAATCGTACAATGGACACTGCATTTAGCAGCGATTTCTAAGTATTATAGAAAGGGTTTTGTAGCTTTTATTTTATTCATTGTACGGTTCCGACTACATCTGTTTATCGCAAGCATGTGTTTATGCATCACTATCAAATAGTGATGACACCAGGTGTTTGATAAACATTAAAGTCTACTTCTGATAAGGGAGGGGGCACGGGTGGCCCAGTCGTCTAAGGCGCCGCGATTCGCTGTGCAGAGTTGCGTCCATTGGGCACGCCAGAAACCTATGATTGTGGGTTCGAATCCCGGTTCGCCCCGATTATGTTTCTAGGTTTGTCAGCCCCATACCCGTGCTCGTGGGTTTCACGGAAGTGGTAAACGTCTGAGACCTGCATCACTTAAGGCTTTCCTCCCACATTAAGCTGACACGCCGTAATATGACTGGAATACTGTAAAAAGCGGCGTTAAATCCAATTCACTCACACTCACTCTGTTAAGGGAACTGAGAAAACTGACCACACGCTGTATCGTTATGCTTGCTTGCATGGGTTCAATAAATATTGATGCTTCTTATCAACAAACAAGTGTCAGTGTTAGACCTTAGTACCCGTTGTATTACAATAAATCTTCTATTATCTTTGATTTGGGTAAGAAATTAGGTCATTGTACCTCAGGCTTGTCGTAAGAGGCAACTAACATTGACATCGGGTGATCGGTTCTGACAGGGCTGATTTCGTTCCACCCTACTCTGATAGAATTTGTCGGTGTTCAGTCTTTCAGTCATCGTTTTCCCCCATTAATAACAGGCTGCCGCGACGTAGATGGAATATTGCTGACTGGGGCGTTAAATAAAATCCACCCATTAACAACCAATTAAAGCCATCCGTGGGGTACTTACGGAATATACAGAAAAACAGATGCTTCTATGCTGCATAGCTGCTCCTTTTTTGAGCTATCGTTATAGGTAGTGCTATAATCACCAGATAAGGGCATCTGGTGTATTTCATTCAACATACAGTCATACACTTAAATAATGCTCCATTATGAAATTAGACATGTGTAATGAGCCCTTTCCGAACCCTCCTCGAATGCTCACTCGTCATCATGTCCTTGGTTTACGACGTTTTCAACCACTGTAAGGCTGTTTTGATAATAATCTCATTCCAATACCGCCATCTGGTTAATGTTATTCCACAAACATTTCAACAATTTTATTCTTAGTGCCGAGTGTTGGGAACGTTGGCTGTTTAAAGCATTCCTTCGATTTACGGAGGACCCGTGAAAACTCTTTTCCGTGTCCCCAACAGTAATAGTACTTGAATAGTACTTACAGCGGCGAACATACATGCCCACATCCTCAAAATGTGAGAATGATACCTGTAACATTCATTGCTGACTAATGCTAGGGTGATTATTCGGGCCTTTCTCAGACAATTTTGTCAACACGTAGGATGAGAATGCAAACCCTCCTGGTGTCGAAAGGGAGGCTTGGGTTAGTCTACTCCCTGGGGTGCTGAGAATGGAAATTGAATGCACACTGATCCATTGACCGGGGTATTCTTGCCACGCGCTTTGAGCATCATATTGTGTAGTCTTGTGCTATATAAGTTACTACAATTAACACTTCACGTCCACGGCCTATCCGAGCAACAATGCACTTGTCTGTTGAAGTCATTACACATGACAGGATTCAGTTGGAACTTGTAATGTGCTAAAGGTAACGATTCTTGTATGCTCAAAACGTGCATCCCATTTGAAAGCGATCCCTCCCCTCTGAAGTAATTTACTTAGTGAAGAATGTATTTGCTTCAGTCATGATGAGAAACTGAAGAGCAAACATCAATAATTAGTTGAGATATGGTGGAGAGCGAAAGAACCACATCTCGTGTGGATAGAGGCCCCAAGATGTTCTCTTCAGAGGAATGTTGGTGTGGCGGAAGACTCAACTCAGGTTGTGGCTAATGATTGAGAAGGCCAAATACTATGTCGCAATACACAGCACATCTTTGAGAAATCGTACTTAAACAACTTGCAGCCTTTCTATTTCATTTCGTTTTAAACTTATGACTAGAGACATTGTTAAGCTACTGAAAAAACTATTTTTGCGAATCTTTAAGTGGGAAAAGTAATGTTCAAATAACATAGAATTGAAATCTTCAGTGTAAAACTCAATTTCCGAATGTAATTGAGGTGGAGCATTTTTGGTGAGTTTTAAGAGCACGCTCACTGCAGGCCTGTGTTGGGAATGGTGAGTTATTGGGAAATAAAGAACGTTCCAATGAACAGTAAAAAGGTCGTTAGAAACAGCACTGTCAACATTGTCAGCGATGAACATCGCAAAAGATATTAATACTCTGTTATTGCCCTATAGCCATATCTGTGTTTCTGAGCTAGGAGATGAATAACTGTTTTAACTGAATGTTACACAACAGTGGGAACATAACAACCATACAGTAACTATTCACAATGGGGGAAGGTTGCTTTACGCATTATTTCATGTAGGGCGGTCGGGTAGCCTAGTGGTTAAAGCGTTGGCTCGTCACTCCGAAGACCCGGGTTCGATTCCCGACATGGTACAATGTGTGAAACCCATTTCTGGTGTCTCCCGCCGTGATATTGCTGGAATATTGCTAAAAGCGGCGTAAAACCATACTCACCCACTCATTATTTCATGTAAATCTCATCTGGGCCTTGCAAACCAGCGGCTGACTGCATCAGCAACGATCAACACCGTCTGAGTGTGAAAATTCACAGTCGATCAGGTCGTATAGAGTATCCACCAGACTCTATACAACGGTTCTTAATATAATCATAGAAGAAGAGGAGACTTTTCTGCCCCGAAATCCCGACAAAGCTTCTCGTGATTGGAGTGTGGATGTGGAGTGGTCAAGTGTACCGATGCATGCCATCGAGGCTGATTGGATACAAACAGTCTAGCAACGTCATACTCATATATAACCACTCACACAAGTAGAAGAGGCGGTCGGATAGCCTTGTGGTTAAAGCATTGGCTCGTCACGCCGAAGACCCGGGTTCGATTCTCGATACGGGTACAGTCTGTGAAGCCCATTTCTGGTGTTCCCCGCCGTGATATTGCTGAAATATTGCTAAATGCAGCGTTAAACCAAACACACTCACTCACTTACAAGTAGAACTCATCTCAGGGAACCCGTCCGATCCCGTTTTTATCGATTCCTACGACAAACTTGATGAGCTTAAATACTAATTTTTTTTTCACTTTTGCCTTCTGTTTAAGCCGATCGGTATAATGTACATGACATCTTGCCGCATGTTCAAATGTCCCAATTCATCACGATTGTGTAGTCCATATATCAAACAGTTCACATTCATAGTCTGAGATAAGGGCAGTTGCGTTAATTGATACTAATCCTGCATGTTGCTCGGGGTCAATGCTGTTGCAATCCCGCCCATAGTAGCTGAAGTACCAGATGTCAACTTTGAGTGAAATAACGTGTTCCCATTCCAAACATCGAACATGTTGACTGACAGTGTAATGTAAAGGCTGTTTCCAGGTTGGTAGACAATTTATCACGTATTGACTAACACTTGATCCATATACTTGTAGCCGGCACAGATTGTATCTTAACTTGTCATTTGCACATGGCACGGAGTCATCATTTTGATAAGAAATTATGACGTTACATATTCAAAAAAATATTTAAAAAAAAATAAATCATCGATTTATTACATAAAACATGCCCACTTAAATTCGTTTAGCGGTTACTTCGTCTGGAAATCAATTCACAGATATATACTGCACTTCGTGGCATTCAATTTTACTAACCCACCCCTGGTAGAAGCTGCTGTGTATTATGAACTGAATCCAATAACCATGGTATTTTACCATTTTAATTTCGCACTCGTGCAGAGAATTCTCATTTAAGGACAGATGTTAGTATTTAGTCGTATGCATATATGTGAGCGTGTCCAATGCTGTCGATCCACTCATAGAGCCAGAAACCAAGATGTATCATCAAGATATTCAATTTGAATTCTGTGAAACGGTGTAGTTGAGAAATCGATAAAGTTTTTACCCTTGTGCCTTTATACCATCGTGTCCAGACACGTTCATGGATGTTAACTTAAAGCTATGATCCCCCGAGAAGATTTGTGACATTCCAACCATTATCCTATTCAATTATAGTGACTGTACTCAGATTTTTTTATTATTGTTTGGGGATAATCGCTTAATGAAATTTCCATCGATGCCCGTATGCGTCAATACTATAAAATAATTTCAAGGGGTTTTATGGAAATGCCAGAATGAATAGGGAAAAGAATTACAAGCTTAAGGTACTTCAAATTGACGAAAAATAGCTAAAATATTATATTGACCAGAAAATAAGTACAGGATTCATATCCATGTGTTTAATTTGTTCATGTCTGTAGGCCTAGCAGAAATCGACAAACTATATTATTTAACTTGTGACATGTCCTTTGTTGATATGGTAGACATATTTTGAGTTCATTATTGTGGAAAAGGGGCGTTTGATTCGTCTAATGGCTAAAGTCCGGTTTGGAAATGTCACATGAGAAGAATATGAGAAGCTCATTTGAGGTCACCCGCTGTAATATTGCTCGATTATTGGCGTCAAACACAACTCACTCACTCGCTATTTCGGGAGATGGTATCATGTTGTTCGATTTGCGTGTTTAGTAATGAATTACTGACTGTTGATAGGCTGCTGTTAAGGCGTCGGCCAATAAGCAGGTAACCTACATGTATATAATAAAGCATTTGGAAATGGTTAACAGTGAAAGCATGGCAGTGAGACGTAGGGTGACCAAATCTGCCAGGTCCACCCTTATAAGTGATCTTCCCGAATGGTCATACGATGTAGCAATTTTAGTTCAAACCGATCTAACTTGTGTCACCAAGAAGGTTGTATTAATTGATAATATCCACTTTATACACTTGCACCCTAGGTGAAACTAAGGTTCACATGAATAGTATTGATATAACCATCGTTATTCGTGTAAATTACTTACCTGTAAAAATATCAGTATTTTACAAATCGTTGATCCGAGGAACCAGGTCTGTAACACATCTGATACCAAGGTCGAAGGTAAACACACAAGAATGACCATGAAGTCCCCTAGAGCCAAATTCACTATAAACACATTGGTCACCGTCCTCATGCTGTGATTCTTCCATACTGCGTACACCACCAAGAAGTTGCCAACAAGTCCCAATATGAACGTCAATATGAACACAATGATGATAGGCCATTCATAAGCTCTTGGGAACAAATGTTCTTTGATTGCGTCTAGATAGTCTTCTTCATTCAGGCAGTATTCATTCCAGCAGGTAGTTTTATTATCATCCGTGTCATTACCTGTCATATTTCCAGTCAGATAATCAACGGTTACGTTCATTACATCCATGCTGAACCTAACACAGGTAACCCACGACTGTTAAAGTTCCGCCAACCTTCAAAAGATCCTCGTGTGTTGCAAATCGCACGGCTAGATAACTTGTTTGCTTGTACACCTGTAATCCTACTCGCATCTATTTATACTCCTCAATACACCATACATGTCATAAATGTTTAATTATGAAAACGGATTATTTATTAATTACAGATCTTCTGCAGGGTGTTACCACGTGTCCATATAACTAACAAATATACTTGGTAGAAAGTAGAACCTTGTGTTTGAACTTGATACACAAGGTGCCACCGGGATCCCTGTTGATGCAGTAGGTCGGAACAAGACGATGGGTATTCAACGTATTAGATGAACACAACGACGTGATTATCACAGTCAATTTGCAATGTGTAGAGGCAGAAAATTAGAGAATCATCCTTTACTTGCTAATGCCGGACTTGACGACTATAACATTGACGTATGTACTCAGGTGGGAGGTCTGTTTCCTTCTCATACAGTCGATCATATGCTGACACCATTTATCTGAAAAATCCAAAAAGATGAGATGAGATAATTACTTGTAAAACGATTTGCGTCAGATGCAAATGAATTTTCTGTTAAAGACCTGTCGACCAATAATCAGTCTTGTGGACACTGAACTGAGCACTGCTTACCAGGGTAATGAAGTGTCAGTGAAGATAATACCTTGTCGTTAGTCCACAAGACCCCAGGACACACGAGAGCGATCCGTTCAGATCATTTACAAACTCTGTCGGGACCAAGTGGTAAATTATCTCTCTGAATGACTTATCTGTGAGTCCACAATGGAACTGTACATATAAGCTGTATTCAGTGTAGGTAACGCACGAAATTAATAACTCGGCAGGTCGATACTTCATATCTATTTGGGTCAGTTAGCGAAATGGCTTGGACCCGAATAGGCTTTACTTGTTTAAGGTGATGATTGGCAGGTTCGCTTAGGAAAGTTCTTGAAGGCTGGTAATGATGACTATTTTCAGGCCGAAATGATAACCATCTTCGAGTCCCGTTAAACTCATCTAGCTGATAGCTGCTACGCTAATGGTGCTCACCCAGCGACTAACATTGTCACTGAAGATTGTTTCAACGTTTCATTTAAATAAACCTAAACATGATGAATGTAAATTGTGGGGAATTACTGACAGAGAAATCTATACGTTGCCCTAAATGATAAGCGCGTAACATATACCTGTACCAAGAATCCCATGACGATTTCTTTATTCTGTTGTCAAAACCACACGGTAATACGTTGACCAGCAAAAAGTTTTCAAATTTTGATCGGAATATTTCAGCTATTTTCGACAGAAAGTACCTGTTCTTTATCTCAACGGCTGATGAAATACAGACTTAAGCCACTTCAGAAATGGATGAGTAAATGGCACTTGTACATGACATGATGAAATTTCAGACTTCAATCTAAATCGTAACAACATCATGCTCATCGTATTTCGCATTACCAGTTACATTGATCATCTATTAAATGCTTAAGTTGTCCATTCCTGTCAATCATAAGGTTATTTTCTCTACACAGACAAAGTACAAACGCCAGAGCACTTTTCTTATGCAAATGCTCACGAGTATTTTCGCTTTTGTTCAGAATATGGAACTAATTTGCAGAAATCGTTTGTGAACTTTTCGCACTGATAGTTGTGTGTACGTTTTCGGTGAATTGATGGATTGATCAGGTGTGAGGTTGTAAAGATATGAGGATGTGATGTTATCTGGTTGAGGTTGCTATTGGAGGTTGTAGAGGTATGAGGATAAAAGGATGTGAGGTACCATGTCTTAGGATACGTGAGGGTGTAAAGGCATGATAAGTTTAGAATGCGATGGTGTGATGGCATCTGGTGTTAGGATGCTATGTGAATTTGTAAAAGTATTAAGGTTTAAGGATGCAATAATATAATAGGTCAAGGTGCGAGGATTCTACAGTGTGAAGGTGCGAATATGTAAGTAGCGAGGATGTGCATGTGTGAGGTTCAGCGGATGTGTGTGCGTGTGTGCTTAAGGCATTGTGTGTGGATGTGATTAGGATGGGAAATGGGTAATGCTAAGAGAATGTAAACATGAGAGGTTTGTATAGTCTACTGAGACGTTTCGCTATATGCTCTGTTGTAACTGTATGTAGCGATATATTGAGAATCATAATTGTGTGGATTAAACTGTATTGATTCTGCTTGTCCATTTTATTTTGACTTATGTTGAATAAACAGAGGTTTTATAATGAATAACATGCACGTTTGCCTGAGTTTGCATATGCTAGTGAAATTCTTTTCTCACAAGATTTCAAAAAGCGTCATACGAAACTTGCTCAAAAGTTGTTTGATCAGGGTTTCAACATTCAAGGCCTCAGCAACTTCTTTAAACTTTCCAAAAGTGTCTTGGTAGACATGTGGAGGACAAAGCTTAATTTGACGCATTAGTGACAAAGATGATATCCGATGCAATGCTCTGTTCTGACATGTATCATATGTTCCCATATTTTTTAAGATGAAGAATTGACTTGCCTTCGTTTGCATGTGCTTGTGACAGGTGCCACCACTCGGGGAGGATACGCTCACTTGGAGACTTGGTATCATCACTGACAGCGATTCATAAACACATGCTTATGATACAGTCGGAATCGTACACAACAGATGTATTGTGATTATGGTAGCTTGTTTGTCGCCTAATATACTTATGCTTGAAGAATGTTTCCTTCTTTAGGTCCAAACGGCATTGCTATCTTTGATTTGTGTGTTCTTTGGATTTTGTCTTCTAACAAAAAAATATGATTCAGTGAGAAGGTCACACCACATGCATGGAGTGAATGTTTCAATAATTACAAAATATGTCATGCCACAGTATGGTGAGACATCATCTGATAGGTTTCGACTCACAGAGCTTAACCATAAAGCGTTGTTCTTAAACATGTATATTTTTAAACATTTTAACCAAACTTCTGACAGGAACAAATCACGTTTTGTTGTTTCACGTAATATTAAGGTTAAGCCTTCAAGACCATCTGGGTTCTGAAAAGTTTTTTTAAGATTTTGTAAATGCGTTTTCGTTCATGATAAAATATAACATCTGTGTCCTGTTATGGCTCTAACAATTCTGCTAATGTTTAAGGATCATCTCTTCAACAGAAGAAATCGAAGTTTATTATGGACTGACAAGGACAGACGGACAACACATGATACGATGCGATCAATTGGCCCGGTGAGCTACACAGTGATGAGAAAAACAAGGAAATAGGCTTAAGAGATGTATTGAAGATAGAAGAAACGCGCTTACAAATAAGCCGGTCCTCTTCCGTTTGACCTTTCTACTGGGCGTATCACAAATTCTAAGGATAAAAACTTTGTAATTCAGCTTCTTCGAAGATGCTAATTTTTCGAAATGATTGAATTGGTGTAATTAGCTGGCACGTGAACACAGCATGGTGAAACTTCAAATCTAATCTAAACCTTAAGACGACATCCCAGCCACCATGTTTCAGGGTAGAGGGTCTATATCGAATTATAAAGTGTCCAGCTTGCCGCCTCGATTTGTATAAATGCCCTGCATCTTTAAATAAGATTACTCCCCAACTCACGCAAAGCTATGGCTTTTTCATATGGAAGCGAATTTTGACTAACGCAATTGTAGGACCTTTACTAAACGCAAAATCCTTGAGAGAAATAGTTACTGGGACTTCCTCCAAGTGCTTGCCCGTCCACGTGGCCAATTAGGAATAGCACTTGATTAACGGCGATCAGTATAATTTGACTTCCGTTGCAACAGGCACATTTTGATTGGAAAATAAATTCGTCAAACCTTTTTGAAGGTAGTTGTGGAGAAGTGCGGATTGAATCTTTTTTGTGGTTCTCTCATGTTTCATGTTGGCTTTGTAGATAAACTTGACCACGATTTTCGCGCCACAAAGGATTAACAAAAGGATCTCAGGGGTAATATCGCAATAGATATCGATTGTATGGGCCGCGAAAGAAGATCTAATCATTATATCATAAAGAGTCAGCCTTTGAATGATTCAATCATTGATTCTACAGCAAGACATTCACGATTCTTATAATGTTACCGACCATAGGACGTGAACAGATGCCCTTACTTGATTTTCGTAAGGAAAAGGACTACGTCTCATTGAAATAGTTCAGTTACGGCTGTGGTTAGGATGACGGGACATTGGTACATCGTATATCAAGCAACTTAAAAAATTCATCATGTGTGTTGATGTTTTGTGATCTAGCATATATTGTGAATGCATCAATAGAGGATGGCCTTTGATGCACATAACGTACATCGTGATTCTATACTGTGTGGCTGCAGCGAACCTACACCATGTTGATGCCACGCATCTTACTGATCGATGTGAATATATCATCATGGCATTTTGTTATAGAAAATATTTATAGATGCATCATGCTGAGAATCGCGGATAGGTGCAACTCACATACGCTAAGAATCAAAGGACACATTTGTTAACAGGACAAAGTAGAATAATTGACATGACATGACATGACATGATATGGCATGATATGGCATGAGATAGAAGAATGTAATTCCAATACGATATCGATTCAACACATATCCCTTTAAATGCATATACATGTAAATATGTGACGGTGATAAACTATATGCAATAAGTAATTACCACCGTAATTAATGCAAAAGATATCAAGTACCAGTTTGCGGTAAAACAACATATCCTACGACACACTCCGGCGCAGTGGTGACTCAGCATAACACTATGCTGGCTGGCATCTGAGACGCTAGAATCCAATGTTTAATCCAATAGATGTTTATCAATTGGCACCAATGACGTCATACTGCAAGGGGCATAAGCCATGGTGTTTTTGTTGTGGAAATAGAACACTTGGTAAATGTGAAAAATATAAATCGTTTTAATGGGAAAAAAATGTTAATTTATTGTGATATTTTTATATTTTTGTCTATGACACTTCTAGGTTAACACTTTTAATGTGGAAAAAGTACAAGAAAAATAGGTTCATTTCCGTGTGAACTTGCCCTTTAAGTTATTTGTCTCTGATCATCAAAAATACTATATACAGACATAATATGAATATAAAATCAATGTATATCTTGTACACTGTCTTACTTCAATTTGCGTGTTACCAGTGATGACAAAACTCCCCCGAAAACATGACACCTCATTTGATGTAGTGCACAGGTAATGGCTTTTTTCTCCTAATGCTCGCAAAAGAGCTCGCACAAATTGCTGAAACACTTTTTCTACACCCCTTTCTTGGCTCCGAGTGAGATCGCATTTCCTACCAAAGACACGGTGAATTGTATGTTGAACACAAACATGTCGGGGCACAGAGATGCAGAGTCGGCAAAATGATGAAGTCTGGTACCTCGATCAATGATGGGAAAACAATGGAAACTGCAGACAAATTGCTAGCATTTAGTCGTCAAATCCTTCGATAGCAAAGTGTTTAAGATCCATCTGGATGAAGATATAGTCTACTGAAGGGTCAATAGAGATTATTAGCTGAGTGTGT